TGCATCAAGCCTATAATTTTACACAATTTTAGTGTTTTACAGTATTTATACAAGTAAATGTGGGATTGGTATCCCATACAAGTATTACTGCATATTTATATAAGGAGATTCCTGAGGCAAACAAATCAAGGGAATTTGATTTCAAGCCTTGTGAAGCATTTAAATACAAATGTAGTACTGATGTGAGCATACACTGTGGTTAATAGCAGTATCAAATAGAATACAACCAAAACATTGACTGCATGTTCATGTACTTGGTTTTCCACAGAAGAGTTTTATGTGCTTTCACATATCCTGAAAGGTTTAGTACTGTAAAATCTCTATTAGTAGCTGCGGCTTCTATTAAAATGGTACAATTCAACCGAGGGGATGCGGCTTCTATTAGAGCATCTACACATATGACAAATTGTGAATTTTGGTTCTCAATTGTTCAAAAAGAATGGGTGCGGCTTCTATTAGGGATGCGGCTTCTAATACAGATTTTACGGTAGGTCACACAACTATACAATGAATGGTTTGCAATGTCAATGCAGTTATATTTTCAACCTGTTTGCTTTGTGCTACACTTTGCTTTCTTTGAAAGTACCCGGTCACATGTGATCACATTGACAGTTGCAATATCACTATATGCTTTGGAGCATACATGTGATATCTTTTTAAAGCAGAGGAGTTCCATGTTAATGTTGAATAATCTGACAGTGTTTTAGAGTTTGAGACATAACTAGACATCTACATCCACAAAAGTATGAATTTGAATATAAATATAAATAATTTCTCAACATGTGTGCATTATTTGATAGCTTTAAAATGGTTTAAAGGAGTAGAAAACCACCAGACTTTATTGTAAAATCATTGAAGTCTACTGTAAAATACTTTACTTTAGCTGGAATTAATTTTCGCTGAAAAAAAATTTTTGGTATTTTTATTTTCACTGATTTTTGATGAGTTGAATGTAAAATATTCACTGAATTGTCCCTTCAGTGAAAATAGCGAAAATAAATTCCGAGAGGAAATCAAATATTTTACAGTAGTTTGAATAATCACTAGTTTATTTGTCTCTTCTTCATCCCACTTACCCCTCCCCCTTTGGCACCAGATCTTCTAATATACTGTACAACCATTTCTCGTTTAGTAGCCATATCCATACTTTTCAAAGGTTTGGCTTTCTCCTCCGTCAGATTCATATCTATCTGTGAAATAAAATAACATCAGTGTTAGTCAGTGCGAGCCTTTTAACAAGTCTTAATTGCCATTGTCAACGTGCAGTTCAAATATAGTGAAAATTATTGAGTGTTGAGTATGTCGCATGGAACGTATTTCGAACAAAACAAGTTGCATAACAGTGGTACTTTAACATACATGTAGAACAAGTATAAAATGGAAACAAACACACACAAAAAAAAAACATTTTCCATGATATTTAGGAATCTTGTAAAATTAACCAGTGATTCAAATTATTTTGAGGTTTTCTTGTAATAATCTCATAAAATATAATATGTATTTATTCTGAGGACAATAATCCATTATGATTTGCAGGCAAAATATATCTGTTTTAAATTATTCCCATGCCCAGGTCACTGCACCATGAGAATCAATCCTAAAACCATCTCAACTCCATGGGGAGCATACAGCTTACTGAGTGAGTAGCTAATTGTACATGTACATGCACGTAGCAATCAATTTCCCACCAGGAACCCATTTACTATTGGGTGACGAGAAGTACACTAGGGATAAAGTCCACATTAACCCTCTGTTTGAGATTGTAGCACCCAGGGCTTGACGTTAACTTTAAAACTGGCTTGTTTGAAATGTACCGGTATGTTGCATATATATTAAGTCTATTAAGACAAGTGAGGTAAAATTCAGTTGTCCAAATGGCAATTTTACTTGTCCTAGGTTATACATAGTAGGACTGCCCTTAGTGTCAAGGCCTAGTACCCCAAGTATTGTAACAAGA